ATGGAATATTACAATAGGCCCTCTCTGATCGTAACTATAGGCCCTATGCCAAACATTCTTTTTATATGCCTGTAGATCTAGTAATTGAAGGCGTGCTTAATAAATTACATGTAATTATTAGGCCTTTATTGATCTATTTTTAAGAGCATCCCAGCAAAAGAAGGAAGGGAGGAATTAGACCATGCAACAGTGCTCACCAACCACCAACACTTTGGTAAAGAAGATGATGGCAAAAACCACGACGACGACGATGATGATGATGATGATGATGATGATGATGATGATGATGATGATGATGATAATGATGATGATGATGATATTACGGGCCTATTGTCCTGGAAAACAACAACAACAACAACAACAACAACAACAATACAACACAACTAAAACCGGTACTAGATCTAGAGTAGATTTAAAAGTTGATCACGCAAGCGATCCCTAAAAAAGTTAAGTTTTCGCTTCGAGTCCACATCTTCGGTGTGCAGGATGAGCCGCAACTAAAATCTAGATCTAGATATATCTAGATCAAGGAGTTTAGAACTTTTAATCTCCTTGATCTAGATCTAGATTCTAGATCTAATCCAGTTCGCAGTCAGAGATAAAAATATTAACAGGGGTATTACCAAAACTGGCGACACGTTTACTAATACGAATACGCCGTATGTTACAATTAACAGATCGCTGAATAGATCTACACATTTATTTATTTATAATCATTGTGTCAGCAAAGCCCTGCGGCTACCACCCACTGAGCCCGGATGTAAACGCCGACATTGATAACTAACTTTTGCCTTGTCGCAATTAATAGAGAAAAAAAAAAAAGACGGGAAAAAAACTCATTATGAAACAGTAATCTCACTTTGACTAATAAGGTGTTTTAAAAAATGAATTTACGCATTTGATTTTTGAAGTTATGCGAGTCAAACTAGTGCTGAGTTTGAAAAGATCAAGAAAATAGTGCGGATATTTTTTTTTCAGACCAGCGTTCCTTACAAAGTGCGCCGCTGAGGATCGGGAATTCCCCGACAAGCTAAAATAATATGCCAAATAAGATAGGAGAAGTTGCAAGTTAACAGCCAAGCCTAATCGCCTAATCATTTTGACCAATCTGGTGACGACAGATTGACAGGTTCACATTCTACGCCCCTCTAGGCCTATATAAAAGTAGTTATTGTCCAGTGAAGTTTTCCAGTTCTCTACCAACCACTGCAAAGATACTCGGCACGTTTAAGTAAGTATTTATCGTCCGCTAATTTGAAGGAAAAAAAGTATTTCAATTATGTAAAAGTAAAAGGTAAGCTTAAAGTTTGGGATTATTGTTGTCATCGCAATTACAGGAAAAGTAGAAGTAAAAAAATGCAGTCTGGAATCTAAACGTTTTTATCACACACAAAAACCCACATGCGGCTAGCAGCAGCCCGTCAGCCAGAAGCTGATTGGCTGTGGGTAAGCTAGTGGTGCTCTGATTGGCTGTGGTAGGCCAGTGGTGAATATTGTGTTGGGCCTATGATTCCAGTTTTAGCGGTTCGGAAACTTCTGAAACAGTGCTGTAAATATATGAAGCCTAATCTACCT